TGTGTGTGTGTGTGTGTGTGTGTGTGTGTGTGTGTGTTGAGGCTGTGTTTAAATCCCCCAGATGACTTCATTGTGTCTAGCGGCCCTTCCCCTAAAATGCAGCTGGATTAGCTGCAGCCACAGCAGGACTCAGACAGAAATGGGCGCACAGTAAATCTGCCTGAAAGCTAGCTCTCCGAAATCTTTCTGGAGGCCTTTCGCCTTCCCTGCAGCGCACACAAGCGATGGAGATTAAGGGAGCGGTTAAAAAGCCGCAAGTGAATTTCATTGAGAACATAAACGGCTACTTTTGCGGGAAGTATCACGGAGAGAGCAAAGTCAGCCCTGTCCCCAAAACATCAATGCCCCCGCCCCGAAACCCTGCGTACAAGTTGCTGCTCAATGCAAAAAGTTCAATAAACCATATCCATCTAGTCTTAGGTTCCAGAAATAGAGGTCAATTATTCCCTTTCCCTGTAAGTCTAGGTCCTCCACCTCGACTTGGTACCCCTCCTCAGCTTGCGCTCGCTCACTCGCCCGCCCTCCCACACACATACACACACACACATACACACACACACACACACACACACACACACACACACTACTAGTTGGTGTTCAAAGCGATCTGGGGCGCACGTGGGTGAGGAATGTAGAGACAGATGAGCTGCACGGGAGATGGGTAAGAGGACCAAAAAGAAATGAAGACAGAGAAGCAGAAGAACAAGAAAAACTGGATGCCCGATAAGAAAGGAGAGCGAAAGAGCAGAGTTGAGGAGTAGAAGCGTGGCAACGAACCGGCTACGGACCGCACCACTTAGCCCTGAGCGCCCGCGGGGCTCCCCCGGCCCTCCGCACCTCTCTCTCCCGCTCGCGGTGCCTACTGAGAACGGAAAAGACTGCGTTCCGCCGAGCTCAGGGGCCCACAAAGTGCGGAGCGGTGGCGCGCGAGAGCGAGGTAGAGGGCACTGTCTGCCCAGCTGAGCCCCGGGAGCCCCCGCCTGAGTGCCGCGACCCGCCCCCGCCTCGATCCCACCGGCTCCCACGCACCTCGGGCAGAGTAGGACCCACCTCGCTTACTGCGTCTCCATCGATTGCCTTGGCAGTGGCTGTAATCCATACAATTCAGGATGATGAGGGCAAAGGAGAAGAGGCGAAACTGCATCTGGGCGGTCGGGCGGGGGACAGGCGCCTCTCAAAGTCGGGGAACTGGAGAGCTCATCCAAGTAGCCGGCGCCCACCGCGCTGCTGGGGAAGATGCAAAGGGTGAGTGGCCACTAGCCCGGGGACCGCACTGGTCAGTTCTGCGCGGTCAGCATCTCTCAAGCCTTGAACCTGAGAGACGAGGAGACGTGGAGTGGAGAGCGCCCCGGGGAGACAACCGGCTCTTCGCGCGTCCCAATTTAAGAAGGGGAGGGAGGGGGACGCGAACCCACCGCCAGGCACGAGCTGCGGGGCAGTTTAACCCCGAGAGCACAGCTGCCGGCGATTTGGTGGGGAGGGTGATTTACAATCAGTGAATTCGCAATGTCTGCGGAGCTACAGGCTCCGACCCAGGGGAAAGGGCGTCGGGAGGCTGATCCCGGGAAAGGAAAGAGCTCCGCGGGAGCAGGGTTTAAAGAGCCCCCGCTGGCCTTTGGGTCCCTCGGTGGGGGTAAGCAAGCGCCTTGGCCGCGGTGGCCGGACGCGGGTCGCCTACCGCGGCACTTACGTCTCGGACGGTGCGGCTTGCCTAGGCGCGGCGCTCCATCCCGGGCTGGGGAAGCGAGGCGCCTCGCTAGCACGTGGGCTGGGGAAAAGTTTGCCGGGAGCCGCCGGGAGCGCCCGGCAGCTCCGGGATTCCGGCGGACGCCGCGGGCTCGCAGTGCGCCCACGGTCCGCTGGGCTGGCGGCGCTAGCGGGAGCGCGGCGGGGAGGGCGCGTCCGCAGCCTCGGGGATGCTGCGTCCCCACCGGTGAGTGCGGCGCTCGGGCGACCGGCACGACCGCTCTCTTTCTGGGTCCCTATCCAACTGGGCGGTTTCCTAGGCTCTACTCCACAGCCACTTCACATCAGGGATTTCTCCCTTTCCAAGCTGTGGGAGACAGAACGCTCCCGCGAGGCCGAAGGGATGTGGCGAGCGCACTTTCCGACGGAGATGCAGCCGGGCTGAGGCTCGGGATGCTTCTATAAGTAGGTGGTGCTGTGGTCCAAGGCATCCGTGTCAGGCTGCCTCGGAGTTCCTGGGTCCTAAAGCCAGAAACTCTCGGGTTTCCCTGTGGTCCTAAAGAGCGCTGACTGCCTCCAGCGAGCCCAACCCGAGGCAAATCCCCTCCGGGCTTTCCTGGAGTGCTTGGCTAAACTGAGGAGTGGCTAGGATGGGGGCGCCCCCTTACCTCGCTGCGCCAGGGAGCCTAGCTGTGTTCACCCCCAAGGCGTCTTTTTCGGGCGCTCGGGGGTCGTTTCCAACCTCTGCCCTGACCTTCCTGCAGGAGCATCTGACGGACTGATGGCTTCTCCTAAACCGTCCTTCCTGAGCTACCGGCCAGGACTGCTGATTCTGACCCGCTGAGTTTGAACTTGAGCCGCATCCCGAAAGCTACCCCATCTCTGCCACTTTTTAATTTACGTCTTCCTTTGTTTTATAGGACGATCTGTTAGCAGGCTGAAATTAAAACGTGCCTTCAGTGTACGGAGTGAAAGGGGTATTTCCAACAGCTTTCGCTTATCCCCAGAAGTGTTATTTCTTGACTTTGTTTCTTCTCCACAAAAACTTTAAAAACTTGTAGTCCTTTGCTTGCAGTACTCAAGAAATTGGGACCTTGTTTCTTTAAAGGAAAGTTCACTTTCCACTCAAGTATTTCTTAGTCATAATCCTCCTCTCTCCCTCCAGCCTCAAAGACTCCTGATTTAAACATCTAGTGCCTTAGGTTTGGAGAATACACTTGATGCTACTGATTTCATTCTGATGAAATCTTCGGTCCTGCCTTCATTGCTGTAGGAATGAATGTATTTACTCCTTAGGCAAAAGATAAGATTTTTTTTTTACTGCTAACCACGGCAGTATGAACGTTTGTAGATATGACCATATGCTAGAATTTTGTACTGCTTAAATTTCCTTTTCTATGCCTTCAGTTTCAGGAGATGTTCAGAAATTTAGAAACTTGAGACAATCATGTAGAAACAATAAGACTATTAGAAGAGTCCTGTTTATTAACGATTCCATTATTGCCTATCCATAACTTTTTTTTACAGACATCACTATTACATAACAACATTTATGCACTAAGAACTTCAGTGTTATTTCCTTTATGCATGCCTGAGAACATCCAAGTAAATCCGAGTTGAGGTCACTGGTCCCATTTCCTAGATAAGAAAATTCAGCCCCTGAGACTGGCCCGCAGGGCACAAATAGAGTTGACAAAACACATGCAGGAACAGTGGATCTGTTTCTCAGCTTTCAGTCTTTGATTTTTATCACAGAATTGGAAGCAATTGGAAACATTTAGGCTAAGGGAGTGGCCCAGCATCTAGCATGATGGCTTGATATTCCAGTAGAAATTCCTCCACCATCATAGATACCACACACCAAATTTATTGCACTTCTAAAGAAGTTAAATGCATAGGAGAATAAAGACTTCTCTAAGTTCCCTGCCTTTTTATATAGCTTTGAGACCCATTCAAGATCCGTGGTTATCATTATCTTTCAAAATATTTAAGGGCAAATAGAGCACAAAACCAAGTAGATCTAACTCCACCATTAACCACCTAGGTCACATTCGGCAATTTGCTTGATCTTAGCTTCCTTGACAGTATTGTTAGGAAATAGAATAAGATCTCTTTCATCTCTGCCATGTTCTGGTTCACAATTTTCTATTTCTATCAAGAAGTTTGTTTTTATAGGGTCTAACCAGTATGATGACAGACTCATCATTGGTCTGTCTCTGCTTTTTTAAAGGATACCACTGAACCTCAAAAATCAGTCACATTTATTTTGGGGGGGTACTTAGAGTCTCACACTTAATCGCTTTGGGGCTACTCTGTTGATAATGCAGACTTTTTTCTTCTTTGCCATTCACTGAATATTTTTCCTGATTTCAAGAACCCAGGAATGTTCTTGCTACTAAAAAATACAACCCTAGCAGATCCTAAACTATCATTAACTTTAATCCCATATTTCTGCTTCCTTTCATTTCTAAACTCTGAATGTGTTGTTGTTGAGCCTCACAGCTCAGTTTCTCCATCTTGGAGACTCAATGGACTTTTTCTTCAAACTGAGTTTAGATGGTGGTTTCATTAAACTAGCTTTATAAATAGATATGTGCCTGGTGTCTGTTTACAGAGAAACATACTGGTGAGATTGACTTCATACCACTCATTGGTGATAGAGAAGGTCAAGTGAGGGGAATGATACTATAGATGGAAGGCAAATTGTGTACTTTACTTTTGTCACTTATAATTCATTGATATAGCTAAAATTCAATCCTCAATAAAGAAGATACCATGAATGGGCTCTCCCTTAGCAAGCCAATTCTCCTCCTCAGAGACAACCAGTTATTTGTGTATAACTCTCCAGATTTTGAGTATACTTCCAGAGATACATTGTGCTTATCAAGAAAATGGGTGTATGTGTATGTACACATACTATATGTACTATATTCTTCCCCCTTTTATGCAACTAGTAGAATACTGTATTCACTGATCTGCACCTCGATTTTTTTTCATGCGTTTTAAAGTTCATTTGGTATCAGCTCATAAAAAAACTTTCTTGTTCTTTTTATATAATCACAGATCATTTCATTGTATGGTTGTATTTAGCCAGCTCCCTACCAATAACATTTAGATCGTCTTCATCTTTTTCTGTTATAAGCAATGTTTCCATTAGCCTTTTCATGGTTCATTTTACCGTTGCATTATAAATTCCTAAAAGTAGAAAAGTTGGATCAAACAGTTGGATATGTGTGTATGTGTGCATTCTTAAAATTACTTCCCACAGAGGTTCTATCAAATTGCAATGTATAAAAGTGTCCATCTCCTTATATACTGGCCAACATGTTCTGATCTTTGACACTCCTGGGCAAACAGTGGTACCAGTAGTTTCCATTTTTATTTCTTTTAAATAATATTATATGTTTTTAATATGCTCAAACTATTTAATTTTCCTTTTCCATGAACTATCCAAAGATTTCATTTACCTTGTTTTCTACGTTCTTGGTCATTTAGGTCATTTATTTTTTCTTTGTAGAATCTATCTATCTACCTATCTATTCACACACATAATATGTGTATATATATGTATATACATATATATACATGTATACATATGTATATATGTACATATATACATATGTACATATATGTACATATACACATATGTGTATATATACACGTATATAATATCTTGATTTTTGTTGCAAATATTGTCTCAAGTTTGTGATTTTTCTCTTAACTCTTTTTTTTTGTTTTTCTTTGTATTTTAGAGAGAAAGAGAGTGAGAGTTGAGGAGAGGGGCCATGGGAGAAAGAGAGAGAGAGAGGGAGAGAGAGAGAGAGAGAGAGAGAGAGAGAGAGAGAGAGAGAGAATCCCAAGCAGGCACCACTTCCAGTGTGGAACCCAATGAGGGGCTCAATCACATGACCCTGGGATCATGACCTGAGCGGAAATCAAGAGTCAGCCACTCGACTGACTGAGCCACCCAGGTGCCCCTTAACTTTGTTTTAATGTATACAATTACTGTACTGCAAATTTTAAAATACTTTTATGTAGTTAAATTTCTCAGTGTTCTCTTGTATAGACTTCTGTTTGTGTCATACTTGTAAAAGCTCTTTCCCATGCCATTCTTTTTAAATTTTCATTTGGGAGTTTACTACTATATATTTTTTATGTTAAAAACCATAAGACATTAGTGATTTTATGATGTAGCTACATTATAGCAGATTTAAAATTTTCTGACCCTTATATTCACAGATTTAGTTGACTTTGGCTGTCTCATTTTCATTAGCTAATTGCCTTAGAGTTCTCTTATGTTTTATGTTAGCAGATATTCATATTCTCACATTTAAAGTTTCCCAAATTTTCTTATTCATTGTTGAAATTTGTTGATGTTGTACTCTCCCTTCCAGTCTAGAATTTATTCATTAATTAGCTCAAAACAAATTATGGCATTTTTGCCACTGTATTAGTATT